CCCCGCGCCTCCCCTCTAGCCCCGTGGGTTAGAACCGCTACTATAATACTACTGTTATAACTTCAGCGTAAAGCGTGTCGTATAAACGTAGTAAATGAAACGCGATATCGCAAGATTCGACACGAGCGATTATCCGGCGGACAACGCGTACGGTATGCTTCTCGCGAATAAAAAAGTACCCGGCCTGATGAAGGATGAGAACAACGGTGCATTAATGACTGAATTCGTTGGGCTTAGAGCGAAGATGTACGCGGTGAGGATGGACGGCAAGGACACTAAAAAGGTGAAAGATGTAAAGAGTAACGTCGTAGCGCGAACGATAACGTTCGACGATTACACGCGTTGTTTGAATAAAGAGATTGAAATGACTCGCCGTCAATCGTGTATACGTTCTAAATTACACGAGCTATACACGATATTCGAATCAAAAATTGCTCTGAGTCTATACGACGACAATCGATACGTCGTACCTGACTCGACGGAGACGTTACCATGGGGGCATTGGCGGATACCTTTGTAATATATGTATTATATTTATTATATGTATTATGTGTATTATACGTAGCATATGTTGCTGTTATGTACTACTATTATTTTTTACGTATTATATACTACTAGTATTTTAATTTTCACTTTATGTATCGTATCGTATCGTATGTTTTTTTACAATTATATACCACCTTGATCAAAAAGTTCCCGGAATTCATTCAGAAAATTCAAAATACAATAAAACTTAAAATTATAACTCTCGAAAATGTCAAATAAATACTTTATTCAAAATACAAGTTTATTTATCAAAAGTGATATTGTCCCCTTCAAAGTACTCCCCATCGATTGCAACGCACTTATGCCAGCGCTTAATCCAGCTCTCGAAACATTTCTGGAACTCTATTGTCGGTATAGCCATCAGAGCCATCTTCGATTTTTCCATTACCTTCTTTCGGCTGTAAAAACGCGTTCCCCGTAGTGATTTTTTGACTCGATCGAACAGAAAAAAATCGCAGGGAGCCATATCGGGTGAATTCGATGGCTTGGATGGTATTCGTTTCGTTCTTGGTCAAAAATTCGCGGATAATGATGGCACTATGCGACGGTGCGTTATCGTGGTGTAAAATCTACGAGTTGTTTGCCCACAAATCCTTTCTTTTTTGGCGAATTGCTTCATGCAAACGTCTCATAACGCCCAAATAATAGTTAATTTGCAGTTATTGATCATTTCTCTCACTTTATTGATGTTTTCGTCGGTTTTCGATGTTGACGGCTTGCCACTGCGTTCGTCATCCTCGACGGATTCACGACGGATTCACGACTACTTCTGAAGCGTTCATGCCACTCATAAACGGTTGTTTTCTTTACAGCATCACTGCCGAAACAGTTTCTCAACATTTCCAAGGTTTTCGCACCATTGAATCCATTTTTAACGCAAAATTTAATACAAACTCGTTGTTGCAAATTCAACTCCATTTCTAAAACTGTAAAATATCGAAAACACGTGCAGAGGTAGATGTACTCAAGACGGCGTAACTTTTACAAATGTCAAGCTACGGCGATAAAATTTCGTGGAAATGTCAATGATAGATGTGGCAACCTAATCAAAAAAACAGAACTCAAATTAACTGACTCAGAGCATCACCTGGTGGTAATTCCGAGAACTTTTTGATAAGGTGGTATATTATGTTACTATATATACTATTTTTATGTATGCTTGTATGTACGTATGCTATCTCTATACATGTTAAAAAAAATATATAAGTATTTTTGTATACCCCAAACGAATAAATGGAGAGTAATAAAAAAAATATATATTAAGTATTTTGTATATTCCGAACGAAGATGAATGGCGAGTAATAAAAACCGTTTATATACTTATATTGATATATATATATTTTATACACATAAAAAAATACATGAATCAAAATTGCATCAAATGACATTGTTTATGTGTATCCACAAATTGTGCGATCCATCGAATCCCAGTCACTTGACGTACACCCTGTTTCCTTTCCTCTGTGCAGTACTTTCTCCACGAGATACACGTCCGGGTGAGTAGCGTGATGCAACTCGTGCTCGTAGAACGCTCCAGCGATGGATGTTCCACGATAGTCCTCGAGTAGATAGGTTACGGGATTGGTACGCTGCACTTTAACGATCGTAAACATCTCGGTGGTCCAATTTGGCGTGTAACCCTTCTCAAAAACCGTCTTGTACTTGCTCACGCGTACCGAATCGCCCACTTTAAATTTTGCCGGACAAGCGATTTTTATCGCGCTGTACACCGTGTCCAAGAGTCTTTCGGCTCTCCCTCCTTCTCCTCCTCAAACACCTCCTCCTTCTTCTCGCGCTTGGGGACAGACGCTGCGTCATTGTCGCACGATTGTCTCTTTATCGCACGCACGCCGGGGCTGTCAACGATCTGTCGCAGCGTTTGATAATAAGCTTAAAATGTCTCTTCAACGCCTTATCCTCCTAGATTCTATCGGTCTTCAGAGCGCGATATTCCTTACGGATGGACTCATTCATCTTCTCGATCTCCCTCGCGGTTTTTTCACGTACATCTGCCATGTTCGTCTCTGGCGAAGTATCGACAACGACTGACCACGTTAGAGTATCGCAAACTCGTTAAATTCTTTTCTGTATCTCCCGTCTTTAAGCGCACTGTCCTTGTCTATCACTAGAAATCCGTATTTTTTTCGCCAACAGTCGCGACAATACAAACAAAATTCGCCGTACGACATGTCGGTATTCACGTGACCGTTGTAAACATGTTTCAAGTTGGTACCATCCTATTTGAACAGGATCAGCAGGTTTGCATTGTAGCGTATCAGATGTTTAGGTATCCTCGCGTACGTCTGAAAGAGATAGAAGCAGTCGACGTTCCCGTGGCAGTCCATCGAAAAGTATTCTCTCACCGCATCCTGCTTGTCGCATGCCACGTCATTAAAGATAAAAATAGAATTTGTGCGCACCTCGCTCGGTGGAACGACATCGCTGTTGTTGGAGAACATAAAGCAGCCGATTTCGTCGACAGACGTAAATAAATCTTCGAAATATCGATACTTTAGCTGATGCAGCGATTTCGAGTAGACGTACACGTTTTCGAACCGTACGCCGTTCGGGCTCTCTAGCAAGCTTATGAGAACGTCGGTTTTACCGCAATTCGACGGACCGCAAATGATCGCGCGTATAGTGCTCGGCAGCATTTCGCCGTGCTTGCGCTTCTCCGCGCCGCCGAGATAAGAATACCCATACAGCAACAGGATCTGTGTACACTGCCATACAAAAGCTTTCTATACGTCGAGGGAAAACTGACGAAGGACAGAGTGGTCGAAGGTGCTAACGTGGCATTGGGAAATAAATGCGTCGCATTCATGTTCGATTAAATTCGATATGAACTTAACGGTGTGGAAATTGACCGTAACAGAAACGTTGGCATAACTAGCACGCTCAAAAACTATGTAACAGTATCGTCCGACAGAAGCGTGATTTTGCGGAATGCCGGCTGGGACGCACAGACTACTGCGGCCGGATACTTTAATTTCTGAGCATGGCTTTTCGCTCGTGGGATCTGTACGAGTTTCCGCTCTTGCAGAGCACAACCAAACATTCGTGGGCCATCAAGACGGCTACTCAGCTCGAGCAGCCGCGCTATGTTATCTTCGCTTTGCAAACAGGCCGAAAAAACATCATGTCCGAGGATATAAGTCGTTTCGACGATTGCAAGTTAACCAAAACTCTACCTGAACTCGAAATGTTATCCGTACGATGACTTGAATCTGGATTTCGAGAAAAACAGATGTGCGATTCTGTACGATTTGTACGCACGTTTCTGCAAGGGCTACTACGGATACGAGTATCTCAAGCCGAGTCTCACCTTTCCGACTTTTTTACTTCAT